ATGAAATTCAGATCGAGTGTGAAGTCGATTACCCAAGTCAAAGAGCATGAATACTCGAACACATTTAAAACTATGTTTAGGCTTTCTTTAAAATTGATAATTCACTATTCAGTACAGGCCAGAATTTTATCTATAGATTTCGTAAGTTACATTAATATTAAATTCAGTATCATGTTTCTAGTCAGCATAATCATGTATGCCTTTGTTTCCAAAAATAATCAGTCTTATTGAATGAAATATCAGAAGGTTCATGGTCTCCATTATAACGAACTTCCGATTCAAATTTTATCACCCTCTCTCAGTGTTTGGCTCTTGAGCTGAGAATGAATATTTCACATGCCAACTTTATAAACTTAGAGACCTCAGAATCACCTAAAATGTTTTCTTTCAGGTGGAATATCTAATGGGTTTGTTCAGCCCTGGCCACTTACCATACGCTCTAGAACGTGACACAAGTCCTGATGGACAACCATCCCTTTTAAACATGACCGTACAAGCACTAAAGCTTCTCTCGCAGAATCCCAAAGGCTACGTACTTTTGGTAGAAGGTGGCAACATTGATAACGCCCACCATGAGGGTTACGCCCGGCATGCACTGCATGAAACATCAGAAATGGACGATTCTGTAGCATATGCTGCTGAAGTCACAAATCCAGATGACACTCTGATAATAGTCACAGCTGATCACTCACACACACTTACCATTGCTGGCTATCCTGAACGAGGAGCAGATATTTTAGGTCTGTATAAAAGAATCTCAGGCAGCACTACTGACGGTTTAACTGTGCCAAGGCTCATCTCATTAATTTATATTTTACTAAGATTAAATATTATGAAATTGTTTTCATGGCTTCTTCATATGTAGATAATGACATACATTGACAGTATTTAACCTTTATTGCACAGAATAGGAGATTTAAACCCCCATATTTTGGAGCTGCTGGCTGAACTTTAATTTAGTAGTATGCTAGTGCAATGCACAGCTAGCCAGATCAAGTGTAAGCCACATTTGGACAAAAAAGGTTAAATATATAGTGACAAAAATATACTTGAATCTTGTCACTCATCACTTTCATGATGAAAAGTTAGATCCTCTCAAATGTCAAGTCAGTATCCACCAGACTACACAGTACAACATTCCAGAAGACAGTCATTTTCCTATATATTAATATTTAAATCTATAGCATGCATAACAAATTGCACTATAAAATAATGAAGCATGCAGGAAACACCTGTCATCCTGGTTAAGTACTGAAATACTACCACTCACTGATGACATTTAAGGGAGGTCATTACAAGAAAATGGTACAGTGCTTTTATAATTTATTTCAGGTTCTTCAAATATCATGGAAGAACTTCGTGGCCATGATATCCTGACATATGCCAATGGTCCAGGATTTGCAGGACACAATAATTCCAACTGCTCTCAGGACTACTGGCGTGAAGTATCAGAGAAAGAACGACAAGACTTAAGATACCGCCCATTTGCTGGATGGTATGCTGAAAAGGAGACCCATGCTGGTGAGGATGTGCCCGTGTATTCACGTGGGCCACATGCTAATCTTCTGTCTGGAGTGTTTGAGCAGAACTACATTGCACATGTTATATGTTACTCTGCCTGTATTGGACCTTATGCTACATACTGTGATGTTACCGACTTCCCAAAAATTGATGCTGCTAAACCGAATTCTGTAGGAACATTATCCCTCACATATTTTCACTTCTTTGTTGTATTGCTATCGCTGTTACAGGAAATTAAGCTTTTCTGTTAAATAGGTGTTTGTTATTCATTTAAATTGCAAAGAAAATGCCAAAGACTTCCATTATCTTCACAAATTTGCAAAGTTCCCATCTTTACCTGCAAAAAAAAAATGAATGTAAATAATTTTGGATTTCTGTTTACTCAGGCATTTTGAAAGCTTCTATAGATGGGCTATCAATGCAACAAATTGTGCAGCGAGTTATGTACTTCAATTTCATAACATAAGACTGAGCTGATGATAAGATTATGCAGGCCTGTTTCCAAAAGTGATTATGTATTGGTCATGCTTTAAGCTCTGTCTGATGACAAGAAATTAATACATATCTACATTTCTTGCAACATTTACTTCCAAACAAACCTCCTTTCTAGAGGTTAATAGAGTTCCTGAATTTATGTCCATAGTATTTATATTATCAACCAATAGAGTTACATCATAGCACAGACCAAATCTAATGTGTCACATTCAATTCCAACCCCCTCCTCACTTTTTGGAACTCCCTAACAGTGTATTCTAAAGCTATTTTTCCCAAAAGATTCCTCCCACCAAAATTACATATTTCTCATCTTCTCCTTCCATGATCAACCCATTCATATCTTAATAAGAGGTGACCTGTGTAAATCACAAAATACCTTGTTAAGTTACTGTTAAATCCCTTCAGCCATACTAGGTCCTCATATTTTCAGGAGTACTTGTAATTATATCCTCCACTTCAAGTAAGAAACCATTGAAACTGGCAAAATACCTGTTTTGTGTACATCCTGCAATTCTTATATATTTCAATCAAACATTTCTCTTTCAAATGTTGTTTCCAATTAATTAAATTTTGAAATTTTCTCAAAATATCTGAAAACAATAACATAAAATTTACTTTTCAAGGCCACAGATTTCAAAACCAACATAATAATTACTTTTAAGCAAAATAGTGTTCTAATTAAACATCTCTTTTTTGAGTTGTGTTACACTTTCCAAAAATGTCCAATCTAACATCTGAAAAAGACTATTGAAAAAGACTGTTTCTCATATACAATGTAGAGACAGACAATACAGCCTGAACAAGAAGAAGTACATTACATGTTACAGGTTAAGTGTTTTCAAATAAGTCACTCTAATTTTCACATCAACTTGTGACACAGCTAATTTATCCATATAATTTCTTTCAGGTACTATACCTTCTACACATACAGAGGTCTCAAAAAGCTTGTAACTTCAAAACTTTCTCCCAATTTCCATCATATTCTCCTCATAATTTTCACTTTTAACGTTGTTATGCACTTACAAAAAAGTTTGTCATTCTTTGCTTCTAAGTACTTCTCACTGTTACAGTTCTCGATGCCATCAGCGTTAGCCATTTTTTGGCAACACAGAGAAATATCAAAACTGTTAACTATCATCTGAAGCATGTTATACTGATTGTGTGAAAAGCTTTTGTAAAAAAATTTTGCTGTCTCATTTAGGAGCAGGGCAATAACAATCTATAAAATGCAATACCAACACATTATTACAATAATTATCATCAAAGCATTGAATGAATCACAGAATGCCCTTTACTATCACTTTCACAGGAAGTGTAGCTACATTATGACCGAGTATCTGAAAACAAAAATGGAAAACATAATTTCTACAGGTGGTAGTAATGTAAGCTTGAATCTGAATGTTGTCGTTGCTAAACATAAGGTAAGCCATATATATTTAAGAGAATAAAATATTCCAGACAAAAAGAAAATATATGTTGTTACCTCAAACCTCTCTTAATATGGCTGTCTTCTGGATTGTAGTAGCGTATAGTCCGGTAAAAGTTAGGGTAAACTACTACCAAACTACACCGGGCTATAGCCAAGAAGACAGCCATCTTCAGACTCACTGCCATGAAGACCTCAAATTCAACCCAAAACTTTCTGAAGTAGTCGTTTCTTAAGAAGAGCCAAAGGATAAATCTAAAATCCAAGCACAAGAATAACTTACTGGCATAATACATTTTTTTTTCATACTGAATGAACCTTAAGTTGTACACATTTGGTATTTCAAGTGTTCAAACTTCTATTGGTCAAATAGTCCAACATTTATAAGTAATCAAGAAACAGACCTTTCAGTATTTTGCATGAAGAATCATGGCTTAAAAAATTAGCCTCACTATTAATGTTCAATACTGGACAAAAATACTTGTACATAAAATATTGGTAACATGAATATAAGACTGTTCTTAAATTTTAGAGGCACTATGCTGGCCAATAAAACCATACAGAAATTTAATAAATGCATTTCACAGAACAAGATTGAATTGATATGTATCTATGTGTGTTGTTCACTGTATCTGGGGCCCACCTCCAATTAACACTGCATTCCTGTCCATCGTCAAATCGGCTACAGATGGTCTGTAATGAACATATGACACTGTCCTCTGAAAATCTATAGGTGCAAACGGAATTTCACCTGTATGACTTCTCATATGTTTATTCAAGCTGTTCTTCTGTCCGAAACTCATACGACACACCGTGCATCGATAAGGTTTCTCTCCAGTATGGGATCTCATGTGTTTCGTTAGATCATAGCTCTGAACAAATCTCCTACCACACTCCGTACATAAATATGGTTTTTCTCCTAAATGTGTTCGCATGTGGTTTATTAACGTGCTACTGCGCCCAAAGTTATTACCACATACGTTACAATGGAATGGTTTCTCACCAGTATGACATCTCATGTGCTTAGTAAGTGTGTCGCTCCTACCGAAGCACTTACCGCACATCGTACAAAGAAACGGCCTCTCTCCTGTATGTATCCTCATGTGTTTGTTCAAGTTACTACTCATACCAAAACTTTCACCACAAACTTTACATGAAAATGGTTTCTCACCAGTGTGAGTTCTTAAATGCAATAATAAATGCTGCTTACGGGCAAAGTTCTTTCCACAGTCATGACACAGAAAACTTTTCTTCTCCTTGATCTTTGGAACTTTCACTTCTAATTTAATAACAGGCTCAATTTTCACATCACTTAATATTTCATTACTATCATTTCTCCCTGGGTTTTTAACACTGACAAAGTTTTCAGATTCATTTGTTTTTTCATTTTCAGCTTTTATGTCACTTTGATCATTCAAAACATCATATGATGCAAATTTCTTTCCACTTCTCTTTTCTTTCACATGCTTTCTTGAAGAAATATTACCCTTTTTTAGTTTCTTGTGACAGTCTTTATTCTCCACAGTTGAAGGTCCTGCCTGTGGATTTTTCCATTCATTTTTGTAACTGAGAGTTTCTTCATCAGATAATCTGTCAACGAATAGTATGCATATGGTTACACTCAAAATATTAACATGTTAATTCTGTACAAATTACAAGTAAATTGTAATTAATAATAACAGGTCTGACACTCTTTATAAGCCTACCTCTTACCAAAAATAGCCAGAAACTAACAGTGTGGTAATCCACAAGATTTATAAAAATATTTGAGCATAAATTATATAATTTACCTATTAAACACAAACGTACACATTATCATCATGATAAATGAAGAAAATATATCCAAAACATCCCAGAAAACATAATGTAAATAACAAAAACAAATCATTCCTTGCATTAATTCATAACTATGTTTATTACAGTACCAGACTTACATGGTTACACTGCAATGTGCACAGAATTTAAGACTATTATTGATCAGAAAAGGAATATGTCTGCATGCAAAGTGAGAAAATTAGATTTGGTTTGATTTACGTATACTTCAAAGCACGGGTATAAATACTCAAGAAACAAATTTGTCCTAGTCAAAGGCATTGTGTAACATCTTGTAACATGCTGGAATTTCACAGTGGCCAGTCGTTAAACTCTGCCCAACCCTCAAGATGAAGGACTGTCCCTTATCAGCTGCCTCTGACTGCTTATTGGATATATTTGCAGCTACCCTCCACATCTGGATGTCTTATCCACCCACAACCTGAGGACATGCCACGTTATGGTACAAGAGACCCAATTAACACAAAAGAAGAAACAAATACAAAAATTATCTGACATGTCCTTCAAATTACACTGTTTTATGTTTTAACTTCATGTTTTCATGGTGGTTAAATTTGGATTGTACTCTTCAGCATTATGTATTCCCACAGTTGGTTACCAGTATTTCTGAAGAATATATTTGTTCTATCTAACCTAAAGATGGAGAAGACCGAGTTCTCTAAAATGTTGGGAACCATCTATGAGTCATAACCGACTGGGACCTTTTCATATACGTTCTTGGCAGATGATCCAGAAGTGGTTTGCCATTGCCTTCTTCTGTGTGTGAATGGAGTAATTGTTGGGATGCCACGGAGAAACCGGGGAAGCCCCCGGAGGAAAACTCCGTGTTGCCTAGACCACGGCCTTGCCCAACACAAGTTATAAATTCGGACACCGCCGGGAATCGAACCCGAGACCCCAGGATTACAAGGCCAGCGTTCTAACCGCTAGACCACCATGACTCTAACCAAGAATACAATAATAAAAATTTGTATATGCAATAAATCTGTGTTTTATTATTTAGGCTTCCTTAAATGCATAATCTTTCCAGACATGAGCACAGTTTCTTAGCTCTGCAATTTTCTCATATGCATGCAATAAAATTACATCTCTCGTTTCCTCTCTCTTTCTCCCCCCCTCCTCTCACATACACAAATCTAACTGACAGAAATTATCAAGTTGTTATATGAGAGCAAACACCAACTTTTGCTACAAGGAGAGATGAAGTTCTTAACAAGATAAATTCTCTACAGTATTCACACCTTGGAACTAACATCTAACTGGAATACCTTTGATCACAATCACTTT